GGGACAATCCCCAGGTGTGCTGCTATCAAAATACCTACAGCTCTATACTATGGATGCCGCCCCTGACTGCTGCAAACACTGGAAGAGCCGAGGCTGGGTCTGTCTTTTCATAACCGCATTCCTAGGAACAAGCCCAGGGTCTAACAGAGTTCAGGCAGACCTCACTTTATTGTGCTTCACAGACACTGCATTTTTTTGAACAAGTTGAAGGTTTGTGACAACCTACATTGAGCAAGTCTATTGGTGCCATTTTTTCAACAGCATTTGCTCACTTCATGTCTCTGTGTCATATTTTGGTAAATTTTTTTTGCAGTATTTCTAACCATCTACCAGCGAAAAGATTACAACTCACTGAAGGCTCAGATGATGGTTAGCAATTTTTAGCAGTAAATTAATTAGTTAATTTTAATGAAGACATATGAACTTTTTTAGACATAATGCTACTGCACACTTAATAAACAGTTACGTTTACAGTTATAGTGTAAACACAACTTTTACATGCACTGGGAAATCAAAATTTGTGGAATGGAACCTACAATATCTTTGAGGTATATTTTAGTTGGTCAATAAGAAGCTGTTGGAAAAAAGGCACAGAATTTGGTGCAACTGTAAATTCCCATACTTAAAAAATAATTTAAAGTTTCTAAATTCCTCAAGAGAGGGTAGGATTTGGAGGAGTTGCAGCAAAGAACAGAATCCTAGGAAAAAGCCAACACTATCTGCGTCCATTTCTGCCCCATGTTGAATGCAGAGTTCCAAAGAATAGCAAACAGAGATAAGAAAGCCCTCCTCAGCGATCAATGCAAAGAAATAGAGAAAAACAATAGAATGGGAAAGACTAGAGATCTCTTCAAGAAAATTAGAGATACCAAGGGAACATGTCATGCAAAGATGGGCTCAATAAAGGACAGAAATGGTATGGACCTAAGATAAGCAGAAAATATTAAGAAGAGGTGGAAAGAAAACAGAGAAGAGCCATACAAAAAGATCTTCATGACCCAGATAACCATGATGATGTGATCACTCACCTAGAGCCAGACATCCTGGAATGTGAAGTCAAGCGGGCCTTAGGAAGCATCACTACAAACAAAGCTAGTGGAGGTGATGGAATTCCAGTTGACCTATCTCAAATCCTGGAAGATGATGCTGTGAAAGTGCTACACTCAATATGCCAGCAAATCTGGAAAACTCAGCAGTGGCCACAGGACTGGAAAAGGTCAGTTTTCATTCTAATCCCAAAGAAAGGCAATGCCAAAGACTGTTCAAACTACCGCACAATTGCACTCATCTCACATGCTAGCAAAGTGATGCTCAAAACTCTCCAAGCCAGGCTTCAACAGTACATGAACCATGAACTTCCAGATGTTCAAGCTGGATTAGAAAAGGCAGAGGAACCAGAGATCAAATTGCCAACATCTGCTGGATCATAGAAAAATCAAGAGAGTTCCAGAAAAAAACATCTACTTTTGCTTTATTAACTATGCCAAAGCCTTTGACTGTGTGGATCACAACTGTGGAAAATTCTGAAAGATATGGGAATACCAGACCATCTGACCTGCCTCCTGGGAAATCTGTATGCAGGTCAGGAAGCAACAGTTAGAACTGGATATGGAACAACAGACTGGTTCCAAATTGGGAAAGGAGTACCTCGAGGCTGTATATTGTCACCCTGCTTATTTAACTTATATATAGAATACATTATGCAAAATGCCAGGCTGGATGAAGCACAAGCTGGAATCAAGATTGCCAGGAGAAATACCAATAACCTCAGGTATGCAGATGGCACCACCCTTATGGCAGAAAGCGAAGAACTAAAGAGCCTCTTGATGAAAGTGAAAGAAGAGAGTGAAAAGGTTGGCTTGAAACTCAACATTCAGGAAACTAAGATCATGGCATCTGGTCCCATCACTTCATGGCAAATAGATGGGGAAACAGTGGAAACAGTGACAGACGTTACTTTGGGGGGCTCCAAAATCATTGCAGATGGTGACTGCAGCCATGAAATTAAAAGACACTTTCTCCTTGGAAAAAAAGCTATGACCAACAGCATATTTAAAAGCAGATACATTACTTTACCAACAAAGGTCCGTCTAGTCCAAGCTATGGTTTTTTCAGTAGTCATGTATGGATGTGAGGGTTGGACTATAAAGAAAGCTGAGTGCTGCAGGACTGATGCTTTTGAACTGTGATGTTGGAGAAGACTCTTGAGAGTCCCATGGATAGCAAGGAGATCCAACCAGTCAATCCTAAAGGAAATCACTCCTGAATATTCATTGGATGGACTGATGCTAAAGCTGAAACTCCAATACCTAAGCCACCTGATGCGAAGAACTGACTCATTTGAAAAGATCCTGATTCTAGGAAAGATTGAAGGCGGGACGAGAAGGGGAAGACAGAGGATGAGATGGTTGGATGGCATCACTGACATGATGGACATGAGTTGGAGTAGGCTCCGGGAGTTGGTGATGGACAGGGAAGCCTGGTGTGCCGCAGTCCAAAGAGTCACGAAGACTCGGACAGGACTGAGCAACTGAACTAAACTGAACCTTGAACGGAACTCCTGCACATGCGCCGGACATCCTTCTGCAAATCCAAAAGAGAAGTTCACCCCTCAGCACAGGTGCAGTTTTAGGTCAGGGTACGCTGAGGACTCAGCAAGCAAACTGGTTTCCAGTTGTCCCCTATGCAGGGTTGCATCATCATATGTGGAGGTCCTGCCCTGTGCCCCCACTAAATCTAACCCAGTCTGGAGAAAATAGCCATAAGGAAGCACTGGAAACCAGGTCCTGGCTGTGCATGACCTTGAGTGAGGAATTTACCTTCTTATACAATGGAGATGACATCCACCACGCCTACCTCACTGGGCTTAGAGAATCAACATTTTTAAATAAAGTGGAGTCATACATTCCACTGAGTGTATTTTCTAAAATCAAAGCTAAGGTAAAAGTTTCATAGGATCTCAATTACCCTTGAGAATGCCTCCATATCACCCATGATGTAGAGTCCGTGCCCAGGCTGACATGCCACTCTGGGGACTGGCATGTCTCTCTCAGTAAGCCCAGCACAACCTCCAGGGAGGGGAGAGATGCTGATAATTTGGTAAAAACATGAGTTGCATTGACCTGCTTCCATGCATAGACCTTGTCTGCCTAAGGGACAGAAGTGGAAATACCAGAATCATCTTTAGTGCAATGAGATACTTTAGTGCAATAGGATTGGGGTATATATCCACTGAAGACAACAGCAAGTGGAATCGCTACCTTGGTTTTAATTTTGTATCCCTCTCTTTCTCTTTAGTGCCCAACATGTTTAGTGGACTTTGAGCAAGTTAAATGCATAGTCTAATGAAGCGTGAAAACTCTGAAGCAAAATATAAATGCAGGGCATTGTCTTTATGATCTATGCTATGTATATATACACTTGGTTGTTCACTCATGTCCAACTCTTTGTGACCCCATGGATAGTAGCCCACCAGGCTCCTCTGTCCATGGGATTCTCCAGGCAAGAATACTGAAATGGATTGCCATTTCCTACTCCAAGGGATCTTCCCAATCTAGAGATTGAACCTAAGTCTCTTGTATCTCCTGCACTGGCAGGTGGGTTCTTTACCACTAGCGCCTCATGGGATCCCAATTCGTATTCTGTGACGTGAGGAAATCCATGCTGTTCAGCACACAAAGCTGCCAGCGTGGGAAGCCTTTAAGTGACTCCCTTATTTCGGGGCACACAGGCAGAGTCCCCTCTCCCATGAGAAGGCACTGCTGGCGTGCTCCTGGGATGAGCTGTGGCTTTGAGTTGTGTTCCCACAGAGGAAGGGCTGGCATAGAGCCGGTCACCGTGCTCCACTTCATTCCTCTCAGCCCTCTTTGGCAAAATGTCTCAAGATAGGAACTAGGGGAGGTAGCAGGGTAGGAACTAGATCTCCTGGCTGAGGGGGTGAAATAAGCAAGGTAGCAGCTCTAGACAGAAAGCCCGGGACCAGCCCTTGCAGAGTCGCTGATGCTCAAAGATAATCTCTCGGCTCAGCATCTGCAGCGGCCACCCAGGAAAAAGCCCTTTCAGTTGTCTGCTCCAACACTCCAGACTGAAAAAAAAGCCCCAGGTCCTTCTGGATAAAAGCCACATGTGCCCTTTGCTTTCCAGAGTGAAACACATCATCCTGAATGCCACCAAAATAAACACGTTTCCTCCTGTGCCACCTGGGCCACTCTGGACATTTTCTAGTGAACCAATGACCTACCTAGTTCAGTCCTATATATAAAGAACAGGATTCTTTACAAAGCAAATAGTGTTTTTAAAAACAGAAAGCACCCTTCAATACATCTGCACCCTGTTACTGTCATGCTTCCATATGGCCCACTGTTCATACTTCTAATGTAATTCATCTCCCTAACTCAATAGGAAACCTCTAAGAGAAAAGTAAGTTTTATACTTGTGTATGGCTATTGGCCTAGATTCTTCATTACTATACTTTTAGAAGTGATTATAGAGAAAACAAATAAAAATTAACAATACAAACAATATGACGATTAATACTGTCTTTTGCAAAAAACTGGGGTCACCAGGGAAACAAAATTTTATTCAGAAATTCTTAATTGGGCAATCAACTGATAATATCCACTGTGCTAAGTGCTAGAGGGAAATAGATATGAAGGTGAACTGGACAGAGAATCTGACCCACCTCCTCTCTCCCGGCAAAACAGCCTTACAGTCTACAAGCATCTTAAGCAGCAACCCATCATAAGAAAATCAATAGGAAAAACACTATCTCTTGGCAGAAAAGACATCAAGAAGTCTTAACTGGTTAGTGAGAAGTACAAATGCTCCTGTGCAGAACTGGAACTCATCAATCCAAACCATTTAGTCCAACGTACACAATGGCTTCAAGCCGCAACATTTAGCTGACGAGAGAAAAGAAAACCCAGGACAGCAATAGAGAAAGAGTAGATATGCTCTTCCAAGCACATCAAGGTATGATTCAGAATGTTCTAAATACTCACTGTTCTTCTTGTACATCAGAATTTCAAAGGAATTCATCTCATAGTTCTCAAAGGTTTGCCGCACTTTTTCAATGGTATCTTTATCGGTCAGCTCCCCGTACATAAAACTGCAAAACAACCAAAGAGTTAAATGAGCAAGTATTTGTTATTCTACAGGCATCTGTTGAATACCTGCTCTATACCCAGCACTGTGCTATGCACTGTGAAACACACATACACACATACTGAACACACGTATGCCATCAGAAAAGATTTACTAATTGAAATGGGATCCACACTCTGCCACCATCTCCCCCCAAGAAAACTACTGGTTTAACGGGAGAAATACACTAGAAAACAGTGATCTAAACAGCAGATTAGAAAACAGTATGACCCTACACAGGAATTACAATACAAACAGTAGACTCAGAGGGCTGAGTGGTCAGACAGGCTTCCCAGAGGCAAGGAGAAATGAAATCTAAAGAGCAGATGGAAATTAGCTGGGAAAAGGAGTGAAAAGAACATTCTAGGCAAAAAAGGAGCATTGCAAAGGCACAGGGGTGAGATGGAGGTTAATTCTGGAACCTGAATACGGTTCAGGTCAGTATGCCTGGAATGTAGATGCTGAGGGAAAATTTGCAACTGATAATATACAGAAGTAAGCAGGAGTCAGATCATGGAAGAGACCACGGCGTTACAGACCAGGTGAAGTAATTTAAACTTTATCCCAAAAACAAGGCGAAGAGAGCCACTGGAGGGTTTCAAGCAAAGGAGTTGCATAATCAAATATGCATTTTAGAAATACAACTCCAGGAGACTTCCTGAGAAGGACAGGAGAATAAATCTGGACTACAGATTTTTTCCCTCTCCTAATTCCCAACAAAATAAACAAGTGAATAGGAAAAAAAAATCACAAAAAGTCAGCAATCGAACAAGAAAAAGGGTGCAATTTGATGCTCTAACCAAGATATAGCTAAGAAAAGAAAAGAAGATTCAGCAAGTCAGCCACTGTCTTTGCAGCTCCTTTTCCTGCACACCCCCACTAAAAAAGAAAACAGAGAACTGGGCTGAAAAAATCAAGATGATAAAACTCTGCAAATTCTTTCTAATTTCCATACGCCTCACATTTGGAGAAAAATAAACCAAAAGGGTTAATACGTTTAAAAAAGGTTAGTAAGGGCTTCCCCGGTGGCTCAGATGGTAAAGAATCTCCCTGCAATGCAGGAGGCCCAGGTTCGATCCCTGGGTCAGGAAAATCCCCTGGAAAAGGGAACGACCACCCACTCCAGTATTCTTGCCTGGAGAATTCCATGGACAGAGGAGTCTGCAGGCTACAGTCCACGGGGTCACAAAGAGTTGGACATGACTGAGCAGCTAAGACTTTCACTTTTCATTCTTCACATTTAGAGAAAAGTAAACTAACAGAGCAGCATGAAAAAACAATTAGGAAAAAGTGGGTAGTAGAAGCTCCTGTCTAGTAATACTGACTCTCAGCAAGGCAGTAACTGCCAGGACCACCCACTTTCTTGGGCCTCACACCGAATATGGTCTGAAGACCAAGGTCTATCCCTCTAGGAATGGGTTATGCCCCCCACCAACTTGGTAGAGTGAACCACGGCACAGGACACTAACAGAATGCAAGTGCAGAAAAGCCATCCCTCGATGGGGCTGCAAAGGCCAGTCCTCCAACAAGGCTGCCAGTGGACCCTGTGAGCAAGTCCCCCTCCAGGCCTTCAGGTGACAGCAACAAGGAAGAGTGGCCACACTCAGCCCGCAAGGCTTAGGTGATATAGAAGCAGCGGCATGGGTTCCCCAACAGTACACAAACCATCTTCTAAAATTGTGCATACCTTAGCTGTGCAACCTAGCTTTTTCTTAATGACTTGAATCACAGAATCAAAGAATTTCAGAGCTAACAAGAACCTCAGGAGTTAGGAAGCACAATTCCTAAACCACTAAGTCAATCATCTGTAGTTCCCCGTGTGCCCATCTCAAGTAATGTGCTACTCTGGGGCTGTGTTCTCCAACTATAAATCAGGAAAAGAGACAACCACGCTTGGTGAATTACCTTTAAAAAGAAGGATGGATCAAAACTAAATTAGCCGTGCCTGAGAACAAGGGGATTTCTTTCTCTTTGGAAGTAAAAACTTATGCTCTATTACCATTTCACTTAGCCAGTTGCTCAAAGGCCTTTTTAGCTTCCTCCCACTTTCCCTTTCTGAATGGATTTGCTAGATAAGTGACCTCCATTTAAGTGATGTGATGGTATACAGGCTGGCAATTTCCTTCACAAGGTAAAATCAACCCCTGCTAAATGGAGTCTTCAAACAAACGAAGTGCCATCATTACATCCAGCTTTCCCTATTCTATGTGCTTTTTCAAGCTGAAGTTCAGTGGTAGATACAAGTTTCCTTTGTCTGGACATTAGATTTCAGATGCCTGCAATGCAGGAAATAAGCCAAAGGTCCCTGCGCTATTAGGGATGTAGCTAACATAGGGCATGCTACCTTTCCTGCTAGAGAAGGGACACCATCAGAGAAATAAGTTTCTTAGTTAGAAACTTACTAAGTTCTCTTTTCTGCATAAAAATTATCCAGTACTCTTATCTGATTTTCTTAAAGTGTTTGATGATAGTCGATAAGAAGCAAGACAGGTAAGGAAAGACTGCTCAAGCCACACTAGAAAGCGAAGCTCACTCTCCCAATGTGTTCGGATTACTGTTGTACACATACAGATGAACACGGAGATGTAGACACACAGATACCTCAGAGGATAAGAGCACATCAAGAATATAAGAGAATTCTACTGCAATACTTGAGTCATAATTTCTAAAACTTTGAGGAAAGCTTAAACTTTCCATTTCCCAGTCCCCAAAACCTAAGATGTAAGAAAATGATAATATTTTCAAAACATTTAATACTTTTCACCAAATGAGTTACTTGGCTGATTTAATACCAAAAATATGCAACTTCTGAGAACCAAAGACTATGCCTGGGTTGAACGGGTTTTTCCACCCTTTGGAGATGAGTTCATTTTTGGATCTAGCAGGTTTAGGAAGAGCTTCCTGGGTGGCTGAGCAGTAAAGAATCCACCTGCCAATACAGGAGATGTGGGTTCGATCCCTGGGTCGGGAAGATCCCCTGAAGGAGGGCATGGCAACCCACTCTAGTATTCTTGTCTGGAGAATCCCATGGACAGAGGAGCCTAGTGGGCTATGGTCCATGAGGTGGCAAAGAGTCAGACATGGCTGAAGCGACTAAGCACAGCACACAGGTTTAGGAAAATGAGTCCACTGCATGCAAACACCACTGAAGCCAGATGACCTGAGGAAGGCAAAGAGCGAGAAGAGCAGAAGGCTGCAGAGCCGAGACCTTGCTGAGACAGCACAGGGTCTGGGCCACAGGCTGCACTCAGCACCTCGGAGATGCTCTGAAAGAGCTTTCGTAGTGACACTGCCCGAGGGCACTACTTGGCTAGTAACCCTGTCAAATACCCAAGTTGCATAGCACCCTTCACTTGTGTCTTTGAATCAGTGATCGAAGACAGGTGTGACAACAGTAAGGCAGCAAAACATGGTCTCTTCACTTTTTCTGATGAAAAGCCCTATGAGCATGGCCCGTGTCTCCAAAATGGCATTTATTCTTCAAAAATGGCTAGACAGGGACTTCTCTGGCAGTCCAGTGGTTAAAGCTCCACACTTCCAATAGAGTGGGTACAGGGTCAATCCCTGATCAGGGAACTAGGATCCCTTACGCCACTCAATGTGGCCAAAGAATAAAAAAAAAAAATTTTAATGACCATATATTTTTAAAATTAATTTAATTACCTAAATTTTTATTTCATCTTCATTTAACTTTGTTTAATCTTCTAATTTTCACATAATTTCCACCTAAACCCTCAAACTTTTGAGTTTACATTTTACCGATAAAATGATTTTCCTGAGTTTTTCTAGGTTTTCCCTCATCTCACTGACTGTAAATTCATTAGTTGCAGGAACCATGTTATAGGCCTTCTTTCATTTTCCCAGTACAGTGTGTGAACTAGAGATGATAGTGTGACAAGTATTCCTGAATGTGCTTAGTTGCTCAGTCATGTTTGACGCTTTGTAACCCTCTGGATTGTAGCCCGCCAGGCTCCTCTGTCCATTGGGTTTTTTAGGGAAGAGTACTGGAGTGGGTTGCCATTTCCTCCTCCAGAGGATCTTCCTGACCCAGGGATCGAACCTCCATCTCCTGTGTCTCCTGCATTGGCAGGCAGATTCTTTATCACTGAACCACCTGGGAAGCCCATTCCTGAATGAAACTACTTGAAAGGAAATTCCCAAGTTGAGCAAGTCATTTTCTTTTTTCCAAAAAGATACCACAAAAGGGTGTCCAACAGAACAAGCCCAAACATAAATACCTGCAGGTGCTGCTTTTTTGCATCACTTCCGCCCTGTGATAGCCAGACAGCTTGCAGAACCCGTCATTGCTGTACACGATAGGCCAGCCCACTATCTGGGCGTTCCCCAGCACAAAGTTGGTGTCTGCTGAAAAGAAAAAAGAAGGAGAAGAGGGCACACAAGGCAAGACATTATTGAGATTCAATGAGGACATAAATAACAACCAATCCAGGTATTTTTTGTTTCCCCCCAAAATAGTCTCTTGAATAGGAAACTGGCCCTCTGAGGAACACAGAAGAACAGAGCTCTAAGACTGAATATTTGGAAAGCAAATGCTGAGGTTCAGTGCAGTTCAGTTCAGTTGCTCAGTCATGTCCGACTCTTTGAGATCCCATGGACTGCAGCATGCCAGGCTTCCCTGTCCATCACCAACTCCCAGAGCTTGCTCAAACTCATGTCCATTGAGTCAGTGATGCCATCCAACCATCTCATTCTCTGTCGTCCCCTTCTCCTCCCACCTTCAATCTTTCCCAGCATCACAGTCTTTTCCAACAAGTCACTTCTTTGCATCAGGTGGCCAAAGTATTGGAGTTTCAGCTTCAGCATCAGCCCTTCCAATGACTATTCAGGACTGATTTCCTTTAGGATGGACTGGTTTTATCTCCTTGCAGTCCAAGAGACTCTCAGGAGTCTTCCCCAACACCACAGTTCAAAAGCATCAATTCCTCGGCGCTCAGCTTTCTTTCCAGTCCAACACTCACATCCATACACGACTACTGGAAAAACCATAGCTTTGACTAGACAGACCTTGGTCGGCAAATTAACATACTCCAAAGGAAGTATGCTTAACCAATCAACCAACATTTCCTGCAGAAATCCACTGATTTCTGTAAGACATATTCAAGTCCTAATCTTTCATCTCAGGGAGAGTAAGCTAACTTGGAGCTGGCGAGAAACTGAAAGTAATTTCTTCTGAGTTCCACCCAGCATCTTAGCTTGTCAGTCTTTTGGGCAGAAGTGACATACTGGCCTTTCTCACCCTGATTAGCGATTGCTAGTCCATGGAGGAGAAGGCCTCCTTAGAGAGGCAAAGGGGACAACAGCAGAATGCCTCCTGGAACACACATATCAGAGACCCTTCTTCTTGGTGAGGAAGTGACTAGATCCCTAATACCAGGGCTCTGTGGAGCCTGATCGAGATGCTGGGCAATGACAAACCTTCTTACTGATTGAAATCCTGGAGCCACAGAAGGTACAGTTCAGACCTCTTTCATGGAGCACTAGACCACCATTCACTCCAGATGCAGGGATTAAGTAAGCCAGGTATGTTTGGTTGTCAGGCATGTTCTCACCATTTTCTACATTTTTAAAGATCAAAAGTCTTCAATACCTTTTGTGTTCAGGAAATCAAGTATCCCTTTTTTCAAGACCTTAAGCAAATAACATCCAGAACTTAAATATAGTTATTATTTTGGCTTGATGCTTTCCTTTCCACAGAATAATCACCCCTTCCCCACCTCCCGCTACCAAAGGGGAGCAAAGAGCACCCATACAGACCCTTGCTTTGTTGTAAACCAGAGGGGGGTTGTTTATACATGTACTCTATGTGGAGTGGAGTAATGGTGACATGTAATGTCTTCACTTAACTGGGAGGTTAATTTGGCTCTAGCACATCACTTACAGATTATTCACAGTATGGACAATCATCCTTTCCTATCCATGCGAGAAGGAGCAGAGGAAGGAGACACAGGAGGAAGAGCTAAATACAGTAAGCTACTCATGTTTTTTGTGACATTTGGTTTGCTTATTAACACTTGCAGACATTTGAGAGCTTTTAGATTCAAGGGGGCAGTTTGGCTGCCACCAGCTTTGAGAAGCCTCTCTGCAGTGCTCCAGCCACACAGACAGTGAACCTGGATACCACTCCCTTCTGATGGTCCAAAAGGTGGTGGTGGTCCACTATGCCCTCACCATCGGCTGCAGCCCCTCCTGGTGAAAGGTGATGTCTCTGCTGGGTGGTCTCCACCACCAGGAGAGCTAAAAGCTAAAGGATCTGTAGCATGGCTTCCCTCCCTAAGAGAGACCTTACCTCAGCCAGATGGGCCGCACACACCTGAGCCTCTGCCAGTGGACACAAGCGGGAATGGCAGATGGTCATCTGGTGAATGCTCATCCACCCTTTCCCGCTGTGAGAGCAGGGCTGCATCCCTTACCCTGCCTGCAGATGCTTTCAAGGGCCACCTGGGGTCCTAAGCCTGGCTCCTCAGTCTAGGGCAGGTGCCACGGCTCCTTCATTTCTTTTTTTTTTTTTTTTTTTCTTTTATTTTTTTACAGATGAACTTTCTTGCACTTGCTTGTCGCCAAATAAAAGAGAGGCCCATTGATTCCCCACCCCCCTTTCTTTTAAAACTTTCCCCCTTCCTTGTTCTTACTTTTCCTCCTTTCAAAACTTGCTTCCCTTTCCTCTAAAAGTGTTAAACTTTTAAGGACTTATTAATCATGTTTGGATTGTTTTAGTTTTCTTATTTTTGTGAGGTGGTTTGATTGTAGGAAGGAGAAGGTATAGATCGGTTTAGTTTCACAGTTAAGGTATATATGGTCCCAAAAATCTGAGTGTCAATTTCCATTTTTTTTTAATGTCCTGCTTTCACACTGAAAGGCAGAGCCTACAAAATATTGTATTATTTCAAAGGACAAAAAGAAGCAGCAGTAATATCTTGTTCTTTAACTCTTAGACAAGTTTAGTGTGTTTGTGGTACTTTGGGTTTTTAAAAGATTTTGTGGGATACTAATCCTATACATTGCCTTCAATCCACCTTTTGTCCTTCTGAGTATTATCTCAGGAGTTGGGCCATTGTTATCCTTGTAAGAAATACTAAGCTTATTTTGTTCTGTTAAGCAGTTATTTCTTCCTTCCTTGCTGGTGGCTGAAGGTGGGTGGGACAGTTTGAATTGGTAGTATTAGACTTTTATTGTGCCACAAATCCTTCTAAGCTTCTGTTTAGGTATTTTTTTGTATGTCCAGGAGACAATACCTACTTCAGGTTTATTTAAGGGCACTGACCTATAAAGGACATCAACTCCATATTTAAGGTCTGACCAACTACTGTGGGTTTACTGAAGAAAAACAACAGAAGAAAAAAAGCAGATCACAACAAACCTCTTTAGGTCAGTTAAAGGCTGTATCTCTAGCTGGGATATTAAAGAAAAAAATTAATCTCACCAGCCCATATGCTAAAAGATAATGCCACTAGTAACAATCAACAGCAGGAAAAACAAACCTGCTAACCAACAGCCCACTCATTAGCAAAAAGCAGTTTAACTCACATACTGAGCTCCTTCATTTCTTACTCGAAATTTCCATATGCTACTTCTCACTGAGAACCCCTGGCTGTGGCGATGTGGGCACACTGCTGACCCCATGGGCTATGGCACTTGCAGCCAATGTGAGCCTCAGAGGGTCTGAGATTCAGCATCAGATAAAACAATATTGGTCCGATGGTCAGAAGTAGCAGAATTAAAATGAAAGAAGAGCTTATTTACTTAGTTATTAGCAATGAGAGTGATGCTTACTGTCAGCCTGAGTGAGCATTTCAACTCAGGGAGGGATTCATTTTATGAACTTTCAAAGCTTCAAAGATCTAAGCCCTGATTGAATTTAGAGAGTGTCTATTACTTCTTATCTGTTCAGTTTCTTTCTCTTTGCTGAAGATACATGTCTATGTACATACCTGTTGTGATACACACATTCTTATGAGGTACACAGTAATCTACTCTTAATCTATTCTTGAGAATGCTTTGATATATTGAAAATGAATAGAAAATAGCACCTTCATTAAGTGTATCTACAAACCCGCTAGCCTTATAAATACAACTTTAATAAAAATCTATAGCTGGTCTTTCCTTCTATCCCTCCCAGACATAAATACTTCAGATTCCCATTAGGTACAACACACAATGTAAAACCTGGATATCAGCTTGATAAGACATGGTACATGTCCTCCAGGAACTTACCAGGATGAATAGGCATGCACACAACTAACTAAAGAAACAGGGAATACAATGATTAATCTATTCAAGGGAGGTGAAGGATGGTGTCTCAGGGTGGTCATGAATGAACTTGCTCTAGTCTGGAAGGATGTGTAAAATTTGGTTAAACATTTTCAATGCCTAAGATATAACTACCACAGATGATACAAAAAACAATAGATACAGAAATGAAAATATGATGCCTGCCTTTGGTGAACTCAAGAAGTTGTGGGAGGAAGGGAACATTCCAGGCAGAGGACCCAGCATGGTACAGAAAGCAGACCAATGTAGACAGACGGGGCAGCCAGGAAGACGACCAGGAGATGAGCCTGCAGACCAGGCTGGGGATGGTCTTGAGTGTCAGGGACTTCTGACTTTATTCTGGAGATGGGTAAACCCTTTATGTTGGTCTTCTCTCCCTGAAAAAAAACCTCACATTTCTTGATCTGAGCAACTAAGCCTTAAAATAAGTACAAAATTCACTGAATTACGCCTGTTTGTGAAGTCGAGTGGGTTTAACTCTCTCTCTTGTTGATGCCTAAAACTGTAATAATCTCAGAAGACCTAGGCAGGAGGGTAAAACTGAGTGAACTTTTCATGGATAAAGTCCCAGTAAGACTATGTACTGAGAAGGAAGAATAAATAATAGCTTAACTACATATGTTTACATTTCTTTTTTTTTTTTTAATGTTGAGATATGTTCTCTCTATACCTACTTTGGTAAGAGTTTTTTTTTTCTTTTTTTCTTTTGTTTTTTAAATTTTCACTTATTTTCATTAGTTGGAGGCTAATTACTTTATAATATTGTAGTGGTTTTTGCCATACATTGACATGAATCAGCCATGGATTTACATGTGTTCCCCATCCTGAACCCACCCCCCACCTCCCTCCCCATCCCATCCCTCTGGGTCATCCCAGTGCACCAGCCCCAAGCACTTGTCTCATGCATACAACCTGGACTGGCGATCTGTTTCACACTTGATAATATATATGTTTCGATGCTGTTCTCTCAGATCATCCTACCCTTGCCTTCTCCCATAGAGTCCAAAAGTCTGTTCTATACATCTGTGTCTCTTTTTCTGTCTTGCATATAGGGTTATCGTTACCATCTTTCT